AAGAAAAATGTAAAAATTAAACTAGAATTTTTTAAAATTTGTGATTAGGCTGAACTTGATCCGATTGGATATGGCAATGTGATATTTTGAATTATTTTCACAGGAGAAGAAAATTTCCAATTTTTCATTCATTCTAGTTCACTGTTTGCAGTTTACTATATCACCAGCTTCACGTATTGAAATCAAACAAAACAGCCAAGAAAATGGACGAAATTAAATCATTGGAAATATTCGTGAAAAACATTGAATCCTAACCTTACATTATCTAACCATTCCTAACGTAACATAACTCACCCATTTCAGCTTTTTAAAATTAGTTTTTAGACCGAGGAGAGAAATCAGAATTTAAAGAATAAAAAAAAAATTCCCCTAAGGATTAATATTTAATAAAAAATTAATATTCTGGTATATAGTACGTTTGGTGTGCGACTAATTGACACAATTTAATATTCTGAATCATCATTATGTCGGTATTCCGTCTTAAATCAAAAACATTAGTAAAAAGGCAAAGAAACTCGCGTATTTTCTATGCTTTAAGGAAAAACATTGAATCAAGGGATATGTAGCCTAAATCGTCTCTAACCCTAACCTTAAACCTTCCTAACTTAACCGTACATCACCTAACCATTCACAACATAACCTAACCAAACACATTTTAACTTTTTTAAATGTGCTTTTAGACCAAGGAGAGAAAATACAATTTAAGAATTTTCAACAAATCAATGAGATATAGTGTCGGCTGGTATGCTACCGTTGACACAATTTGATATCCTGGTTTACCGTTTATCTCGGTGTTCAGTCTTAAACCAAAAACATCAGTAAAATATCAAAGAAACTCGCATATTTTCAACGCTTTAAAGGAAAACATTGAATCAATGGATATAGCTTAAACCGTATCTAGCCCTAATCTAACCTATCTAACCTACCTAGCCTAACCCTACATAACCCAATCATTCCTAACCCAACCCATTTGCACTTTTTTTTAAAGGAAACTATTTTTAATGTGTTTTTGGCCAGGTGGAGGAAATATAAGGTAAAGAAGTTTTTAAAAAATCCCCTAAGCATTTTCAGCAGAAGTTTTTTAAGATGTAGTGCCGCTGTTTGGCATGCGATGAGTAGATACAATTTAACATGTTTTATCGTTATCTCGCTGTTCATCCTTAAACCAAAAACATCAGTAAAAAATCAAAGAAACTCGCATATTTTCTACGCTTTATAGGAAAACATTGAATCAAGCGATATGTAGCCTAAATCGTTCCTAGCCCTAACCTTAAACCTTCCTAACTTAACCGTACATAACCTGACCATTCATAACGAACATAACCAAACCCATTTCAACATTTTTTAAATGCGTTTTTAGACCAAAGAAAGAAAATAGAATTTAAGAATTTTCAACAGATCATGAGATATAGTGCCGTTTGGTATGCTGCCAGTTGACACAATTTGATATCCTGGTTTACCGTTTATCTCGGTGTTCAGCCTTAATCCAAAAACAACAGTAAAAAAGGCACAGAAACTCGCATATCTTCTCCGCTTTAAGGAAAAACATTGAATCATGGATATGCAACCTAATCTTTCCCTAAATCATATCCTAACCCTAGCTCATTTCTAATCCTACCTAACGTATCCAATCCATTGCCCTCCTCGGTATCCCGAAAATGGTCACGCAAAATAATTTATATCCAGCCCAAAAACATGTCCGTACTAAAACACTTTTGGCAGTTTAGTCCAGAAAATCTAGTTTTGATTTCATAGATTTTTGTACGTGTTAATGAAAATTACTGACACAGGATCGAAAAGTTCATGATGACGCTGAAGCGGGGTTTGTACTCCCCAGGCACTGCATCCTTTTGACTTGAAAATTCCATTAGTTATTAAGTTAGTTTTTTATATTATTTATTATAGGATTCAAACGTGCTCGCGTCTTTAATTTTATATTAAGATGCATTAATAACTTGCTTAATAAAAAGTGCATTGTAAAGTCTGTCAAACTGATCGTTTCTGTTTTTCCCCCTCTTTGCTTTCGATTAAATACTTCGTAACCATTTCTTTTCATTTGGATGGACCGAACAGCGTTTTCGAAAAAAATCGTTCTGTGTACGGGCATATTGCCATTAGTACAAATGCTGATAATTCCAAATACCGGACATTGCCATATTTGTATTCCGCCCGATATTAAAGTGCAACGTCGTGAGCTTGTAAGGCTATCGTTAAGATCAATAAACATATTGACTGGGGTTTTAAACTTCCTTATATGACTAGAAATTAAAACGCAAGTTGTGAGACAATACAAAACGAGAGTGGCTTTTTTTTTTAAACAGTAAGACGATAATATTAGATTTTGTATAATAATATGTTTTCGATGTCTAGATGTAGAAAGAGGCAATTTTAAATAATATTGTCAATGCTTTTAATATCCCTGGTCACCTGTACTTTTTCGGAGATAAGAATATGTCGCCATTTTGCAAGCCTGTAAGAAGAAGGTAAAAGAAAGAAGCGAGACCAAACGGACCAGCAAGATCAGGGACGACAAAACTGCTAAACAGATATTCTGATCATTCAAGATATCTCATGTGACGCAAAGTACAATGTACATCGAATTTTTGAACAAAAATTATGTATTTTCTTAACCAGATTTCATACGTATCTGGTTATAAAGGCAGCATTAGGATTAAAGGTAGTTCACAGTATGTAGGTTAGAACTCGTTATCCCAATTTGGGACAGGCATAGTGCTTTGTGGTGATTAGTTCACTTCAAGCACTGTCTTTGTCATTAGATGTCTCTTTGTGATTCTCCAATGTTTCTATTCTCAGTCTAGCTAACACTACTTTTTCTTTACTGGGCTTTCTCATTGAGCTATCCCATAATTTCACAGTAGTTATTTGCCATTGTTAATCATCTAATGTGGTTAAAATGGGTAAATATGACTGAAGGTGAATAAGTATGGCTGAAGATGGTGAAAGATAGTTAGGGATGATGAAGGATGGTTAAGGATCGTTTAGTATGTTTAAAAATGGGTAAAGATGATTTAACATGGTTAAAAATTCTTAAAAATTGCCAAAAGATGGTTTAGTATGGCTGAAATAGTTAAGGATGGTTTAGTGTGATTACAGATAGTTTAGTATGGTTAAAAATTGTTAAGGGTGGTTTAGTATGGTTAAGAACGATTAGAGGTGATGACGAACGGTGAAGTGCTGTTAAAAATGTCAAAGGATGGTTTAGTATGGTTACAAATGGTTAAGGATGGTTTAGTATGGCTAATGATGGTGAAAGATGGTTAGGTAGATGAAAGTTGCTTAAGTATGGTTAAAAATGTAACGATGGTTTAGTATGCTTAATAATTGCCAAAGGATGGTTTAGTATAGCCAAAATGGTCAAGGATGGTTTAGTTTGGTTATGGATGGCTCAACCCTTGGAGGGGAGAGTGAAAAGACCATTATATAGAGCTCACTGAGCTGTAGCAATATCTCCAATTAAGCCCCATGAAGGATGCAGAGATGAAAGACAAAAAAGCCTAATAGTTAGGGTTATGTTATACCAGGTGATTATTTATAAACTACTACTATAACCCCCTCAATGAAGATGACCCAGATAGATGCCTTCAAATTTGTGAGTGTGGACAACAGAATTACAGTTGAACTGGGTCTGATACTGAGTATTTGATTTAGTGGCAAGGCAACTTTAAAAAAAAAATGGTAATTGAATCGTCACAATTGCCAATAGTGGGATAATTCTAATCCTCGTGCAATGAGGGAATCACACCCAATATCCTGAAAAACTAAACATTTGGGCAGAGATCTTAGGGAACCATATTATAGGATTTTTATTCATCGATGGCAATTTAAGAGGAGAAAGTTACCTTAAGCTCCTTGAAGATATTATTTGCCCATTGACTAACACTTTGGTGGAAGAATTTGAGGAAGGAGAAATTATTTTCCAACAAGATGGTACCTCACCTCACCACACAAGAAATGTGAGAGACTTTTTAGATGTCCGTTTCCCTTCAAGATGGATAGGAAGACGAGGTTTCATCAAGTGGCCAGCAAGATCTCCAGATCTAACGCCCTTAGATATTTTTGTGGGGACACATTAAAACAGTGGTGTACCGGTCACCTTCAAACAATCTGGAAGATTTAAGGAAAGGATTAAAAAATGTTGTAGAAACATAACACCAAATACTTTCCGTGAAGCGCGAAATGAATTCCATAATAAGATTTTGCTTTGCAAGGAGGTAGGTGGTGCGCATTTTGAAAATTAGGATTATCTTAATAAAGTTACTAGGAGGTAACTGAATTACTATTTAACTTGAAGTTACTCAGAGGTAAATGAATAGTGATTGGGATAAATAAAATTGGAAGTTTTTTTTTCCAAAACTTAATAACTAACGACAAACTCTACAAGAAAAATGCCTGGAGTGAAATCTTCTTTAAAAAAAATCATAGAATTTAATTCCGTATTGAAAATACTTTCCCATTTGAAAAAAAGGATGGTACATTGAAAAAAAAATTTGAGTTCAGATTCAGATTCTATGTAAAAAATTATGTAATGACCAGTTCTACTTTTTTTAAAAAATCATTTCAGTAAAAGGGGGAGTAGTTTATAAATAATTGTAAATTTTGAGCCTAATTCAATTTTGAATTCAAATGGAATATAACAGCCAAAAAAGGAATGCAAGTCAAACACTGGAAATATCCTTGGAAGTATATTACACAAGGAGATGAAACCTAGTCCTAACTTAAAAATTAAAAGTTTAAGGTTAAAAGGAGTCAGCCTATAAAAAAAAACCTTGTGCAGAGCGCCAATATTGGTCTAGTGTTGCCTCCATCATTGGATAAAGCTCTTCTTTAACCTTAACAATTTTGAACAGACCCCAAAGCTTATTGATTATTAAAAAATCTATCACTTCTTCAACCAAATATACATTCTTCTCTTCTTTTCGTCTTACATGCTGTTTTTCTACTTTTTAAAGGGTTTATTTAAGAAAAATTATTCATTTCAGATAGAAATATAACAGAAAATGAGTGTATTAGCACACTCAGTTTATCATCTATGATTCAAGGAATGCTTGGACCTGTAGACAAATCGTCTCGACAATGTATCCACAATTTTAAACTTTTAATTGATAAAGTCCAAAGTTTAGATATTTCAGCTCTTCAAAGTGGGTATTTTTTTTTAGAAAGGTGAAGGAGTAAATAAAAAAAATTGATCTGCATACTTTTTTAAAGTTATCGACTCATGGGGTAAACCGTCATCAGGAATACTTCAAGGGAATATGAACCAGTATGGAGATTTTGACGAATGTATTAACTCTTATATAAAAGAGGGAGAGAGAAAAATTGATTTTCAGTATTGCCTATTAACATTAGATGTTGCTTTGAAGAAAAACAATAAACTTGACCCTATGATCCATTCGTATTATGTCATAAAAAACAATCATAATGACGTAAGTAAATTTTTTTCTCTTAAAGATTTCTATATTGCAGGGGTAATTTTTAAACTTTTTGCTTCAGCCAATGCACAGGATACCGCATTTTTCCAGTTTTCATTGGGGCGTGTGCATACCGAAGTCTTGCAGGGCGGAAACTGTTTCGCAAAAAATTACACAACTTGCAGAACAAAAGTTGTCGAGGGATTTTTCCCTTTCAGTCAAGGGATCGGATAAATTGTGCTATTCTAAAAAAAAGACAAATGAAAATAAAACATTCCCTGCTTTGTAAGTAAATTATATAAATTATTAAAATCATTATAGACATTATATTTTTTTCAGGTTGTGCATTCTCTTTATACTTGCAATTTCTTTGATATCTAGCACAGATACAATTTACATCTGGTTAAAAAACTATACAGGTAAAAATACATATTTTTAAAAATATCAACTTTCATGCTATATTTATATATTGCAGAATTTTCAAAATACCTGAGATGCTTCTCTTTGAAGAGAAATTTCTCCTCTTTGATGAAGACGGAACCAGCCGAGAAGGAAATAAATGCTATTAATGGCACTCGAGTCTTAAGCGCCCTTGCTTTATTACTATCACACAAGCACATGGCACTGTTGTACATTCCTTATGTTAATCGAACGGCCATGGCAAAAGTGCGTCTAAAAAGAATATGTATTAGTGAATTGAAATTTACTACTATACTTGCAGATGATTAGTCATCCGTGGACTGTTATTGGAAGAACGGCAATTATATACACAGACGGTTTCATTCTAATAAGTGGTTTTTTAACAGCAAACACTATTCTAAAAGAACTAAAAGAATACGGAAGAATTAACATAAGAAAGTTAATTGCTAATCGACTAGCACGGTAAAATTTGATCAATTTTTTTAAATTTAAATTTATGTGTATTTTCATATTGATTTTTTTTTTAGTTTGACACCTAGTTTATTGATGATAATAATGATTTCAACTTGGATTCTGCCGGAATTAAACGATGGACCTCTCTGGAATGTCGTCATCACGAAACATTCCGATTTGTGTAAAAAATACTGGTGGAGAAATTTATTGTATATTCATAATTACTTTGGTTTTGAAAATATGGTAAATGCATATTTATAATTATTATGTTGTATTTATATATATATATTTTTTTTAAAATTTTATTTCAGTGCTTGACACACACTCACCAACTCGGAATAGACTTCCAATTATTCCTTTCGTGTATAGTTTTGATACTGTTAGCCTGGAAAAATAGCAAAATGGGTTTTTATTTAATGGCCTTCATTGGTGTTTTATCGACAGCGCTGAGATTCGTTGTGACATACTCCAACAAATTAAGTGTTGTTATATATTACGGAATCAGGTATAATATATCACAACATAATAAAATGCATTAACAATTTTTTTAATCCAATTTCCAGTGTATCTCAATTATTCAATACAGCCAATTTGTCTTATATTTTGCCAACCCACCGTGCGACAGTTTATCTCATGGGAGTTGGCATTAGTTTTTATTTGAATCGCACAACTGATAAGAAAATATCTCAGGTAGATTAAAAACCATCCATAAAATTAATTCAAATTAGTCATAATCATTCATTAATATTCTAGCCGTGGCTGTTTATCGGTTGGTGCATTGCCAGCATCTGTGGTGTATTAGCCATGTTCGGTCCTTACCATATGTCATACATAAACTATAAATATGACGTGGTAGAAGCTGCGTTCTACAATGCTTTTTCTCCGATCCTTTGGGGAATATTCGTTTCATGGGGAATTATAACATCTACATATAATCAAGCAGGTAATACTTTTCTTTAGAAATAACTGAAACAAAATTACCCTTTTAATTTTTCTAGGATACTTGGGAGATTTTCTTGCATGGAGGTGGTTTAAAGTAATCGCAAAAACTACATACTCAGTGTACCTAATTCAATTCCCAGTGTTCTTTCACAACATTGGTACTATTAGAAGCGCCAAACAGTTTACTTCATTGGACCTTGTATGTATAAAAATGCAACAAACATTGAAATTATTAGTTAATCCTTGCACGTATGCAAAAGAAAAAATCTCAAAATATAACTAATTTCATTATATTATTTTGTTTTATAGGTTGTTTAATTTACAAATATGAAAACATACAAATTAAGGAGTATAATTTCAAATTGGTCCTTAATAAATAACAAAGAACTTATCAAGTCATAATCTTAACCTTGTGAATTTTATTTTATCATAAAAAATACACAATTTATTTAATAAACAATTGAAATTCCTTAGCCTAAGTGGAATGAATATTTGAAGCCCACGAACCTTGGCCAGGAGAAAATTTTATTTTATTTTAATCTCGATCCGGCTTAAAGTTGATGTACCATCATTAGCCAACTTTACCATCAATTACACTTCTTATATTAAATATATTATTTTTCTAGGATTCTTCCTGTGTAAACAACTAAACTACTATTTTTTACATTTTAGTTTAATATTTTTGAATACGCATCAATTGCAATCCTATCAGTTGTGATGACGTTGGCGATTGAGATGCCAATAAGCAATATTGCTAGACTGTATTGGAAATCAACACCTAAAAGTAAGGCAATTTAAAATTGGTTAAAAAAATATCTATTATAAAACAATTATTTTTGCTTGATATATAATTTTCCTAATTTTTTTGTTTGATTTTAGCTTTAAAAACTCAGTCATGTGTTCAAAGTGATCTCGGTGATAGTCAAGTACGGTCAAATCCCAGGAGAAGAATGGTCAATATCGGCAAGTGAATGGACATTTAAAATGACCAAAGTATTTATATGTATGAACATTAAAATAAATATAATGAAAACTTGTATTTTTAATAATTAATAAATAAAATAGTAATTCATTAAAATACCATTTTTCATGAAAGACGATGTGATGACTTAAAATTTGTAATATTTAAAATTTTCCTGTACCTAACTGTTTCTAACCTAATCCATTCCTAATCTTACCAAATCTAACTGAACCTAACCTAACAATAATTCTACCTAGCCTAATCCACCCCTAATATAACCGTTCTTAACCTAATCTGTTACTTACTTTAACCTGGCCTAACCTAATAGTAAATTGATTGGGACCAAAGATGCTGTCTTGTAAAATGCCAGCTTTCGTTTAGTGAATAGGGGAGAAGGATGTTCTGTTTCATACCTATTGGGCAGATATATTTTCTTAGCTAACCCATCCCTAATCATACCTAACCTAACACTAACTCTACCTAGCCTAACCTACCTAATATAACCATTCTTAACCTAATATGTCATTACCTTAACCTGACCTAACTTAACTAGTACACTGATTGGGTGAGATTGGGAAAACTATGCTCTCTTGTGGAATACCAGCTTCAGCATAGTGAATGGAGGAGAAGGATATTCTGTTTCATATTTGACCTAATGGACAGAGCAAGTCAAGGAGGTTCATTATATTAAGGAGGGAGGAGACACTAATTTATTTTTATAAAACAATATATTATATATATTTAAATACAAGTTAAATAAAGTAATGTACAAAAATAAACATAGTGAAAATCCTATGTATTTTGTATTAATGTTAATTATTCTTAACAACTTATGTTAACTACAATAATTCAAAAGAGTAACTTTAAGCCCCAGGTAGGACCAACTTGTTGAGTCAAGGGAAACTGTTGCATAAACATACAAAAATCAAGCTGCGTTTGACATTCATCTAATTCCTTGACTTTTAAAGTGGAAAGTGCAGGTTCTACAAAGCCGCGTGTTACTGGCGAATACACATAAAACAGGAAAATAGTAAACACTTCAGAAACTACAAGTTTGGAGTTGATATTTTGGATAATTGTACAATTTGTCATTGATCCAATAGACCAGCTTGTACAATTTCGGCATTTTTTATTTTTTTTAATGATGCTATTTTTCTTGTAAACATATTCCTCAAATTGTGTATGTGTTCATCTTGGATGGTTATTATGTTTTCACTTTCAATGTCAGTGTTTTGCTCAGACTTATTTTCACTTTCGCTTTCACTAGACAATGCTTCTTGAGAGAGGCTTTTTGTACAAATTTTACAAGTACAAATCATTATTAGCATGTGTATTTGTAGCCATGGCTTCTTCCAGTTCAGCTGAATCGGGATAAGACGAGAACTTGATCGATGGAAAATTCAATCCAGAATCTACCTAGGAAAAACACTACACAGCCATGTATTCAGGGAAAATGCTTTAGCCGGGAGCTTTGAAGATAAGCTGATATCGCAATTAAGAGAAAAGGCTAGTTTGGAAAAAAAAATTCTGTGAAATCGATTTTTATGATTCAAACATTTCAGATGAGATAAACCATGAGGGGATAAAAAGGTATTTTTAGACTTACGACTCTTATACAGAATCATCTTTATATGTTTATAATGAAACTATGGCCCTTACAAATTTAACATTATCAGAAGATGCAGTTGACCCTAAAAAGTTTCTAAATTTAGGCAGGCCATATGAGAAAAAAATATTCAATTGGTTTAGGTTTAGACAGATCAAATGTGAATAATGAAACTATGATTCTTAATAATTCATTAGAAGATGCAGTTGGCCCTAGAAAACTTCTAAATTTAGAAAGACATAGTGACATGGTGTTTCACTTAATTTATCGCTAAAATTAACCAGATTAGTTTTATTTCCTTTTTTTTTTTTTAAATAATAAAAGAAATATAAGTCTTGCGTGTTCTATATGTCCTCTTTTGTCCAATTCCTTTTCATTTTTCAGGGTTTGTTAAATAATTCTGCTATCTTCTCTTTTAATTTTTATGTTCTTGTCACACTTTTTAACCCATTTAACTATGTTGGTGTAATTTAAAATCACACATTTACCATTATTGTTTAATAACAATCTCATAATATTTATTTAAAAAAAAATTGAATTATACTTAGGAAGGCAAAAAAATATATTTTACAATATAAACGTTATAAATAGTATTCATATACATAAGGTAATTCAATTCATAATATGCTGCTGTTAGATTTAATTAATTACAAAAAATATTTGCTTTTATTCAATTATTAGGCAATACTGTTCAAAAGAATTTTACATCAAGCATCAAGCATACTTAGAGCACTTTCCAATTTCTCCGTAATCTGCAAAAAACAAAAAAACATTAATAATGTATCAACTAATTTTAATTATTATGAAATTGATTAAATAAAAAAGGAAGTATGAAAACTTTTGAAAGTGACAGGCTGTCAAACTGGCAAAAGCCGGATTAGGCCTCACACCCTTTGGAATGGAATATCAGCAGTAAGAAACTGGATGAGTGCACCGGTTGTAAAACAATAAAGAAATTCCAGTTCAAAGAAAAATCCACCTCTTTCTCAGCGGGTAGGAATTAAACAACTAAAACGCCAATTTAATTACCCTTAAAAACCAGGAAAACCTGCCGATTCTGCCATTAAACACCAGAGATATCGAATCTTACATGAGTGCAAACGATTAACTTGCAAATCGTACAGCCACTTACAAAAAGATGACAGTAATGTTGAAAGAAATAAGAAAAAAATCTGGAACGTGCTCAACTCCTTTCAAGTGCACTTTCTTGTGTCTAGATATAAAGAAGTCTCAATTACTAACTGGATCTATTAGATCAAAGATGGAGACAAAAGTCACCAGTGACGCCAGAAGAACAACAAATAAAATTAATTTACATGTAAAAACTAAAAAAAATGTAACACTACTTTTCTTCAAGGTCCTGTCTCACTATCTACCTCTAATTGCTAGGCCTACCAACGACTGAAAGCTTGTCGCTTGCTGCAGCAGTGAAAGAGCTCCAGAATCTGGAATTATTTTTCAAAAAATTACATCTCTGTTAACGCTCCTGACCCAGAAAAGCTGCAAATGTTAAACCCTCAGCCCGTGGAACCCCCAAAAGATCAAAAAATTAAGTACTTATCTAACTGGAAAAACATCTGATCTAGATTTGTCATATAAATAAAAATTACAATTAAGAAACTTAAATGAAGCTTTGTATATTGGGAATAGGAAAGGGTCTAAGATGCTGCCCTGGAGTTAACCCACTTTAATGGGAACACAAAAGGTAGTTAAAAAAAATACCTAACTCATACAAATAAATCTTAAATTACTTTACTTAATGTTCACACTTTAAAACTTAATCACATCTAGTAGAATGATTGAAACTTACTTTTTTATAGAATGTGACTTGTTGTGTGAGATAGTTTTTTAAAGATTTGGAGACTTCATCCGCTTGGTCCATGTAGAAATGGTTGATTTCTGCTAAGAGAGAATATGAAACAATGTCTGTATGTCTGGTAACAACGTCCAATTGCGACGTGTTCATCTTTTGATCAAAAGTCATTTTTTCACAATCCTTTTTAGTCTGCAATGCTTTCTACAAATAAAATATAAATAGAAAAAATCTTGATATTGGCCTTTAATACTATAATTTTTAAAAGACATTTTAAACAGAAATTAAACAAAGGGAACCTTATGTAGGTTGAGAATATAAGGGAGCGATGTAAGTAAACCCTTGTAAATGTGCAGCATGTCTCCAAGAGGGGCCCAATCCAATTTTGGCTGCTCTTCAAACATTCGGCCAATGTCGCTGTACGAGTCGCCAATTGCTTTGATTGCAGTTGTCAAATGTTCATGGCCTACGGCTATAATTAAATTATTGTTATTAAGTTTTTAACTTTATCACTGATTATTTTTCTATACTAGGAATTATAAAGTTTGGAGAGCTGATGGATTCAGTGAAAAGAGATTGAAACAGCTGCTCTTGAATTATTATTTATTAAAAAAAATTACAATATTTCATGGTGATTATAAATTATAGAAAAGGAAGCTGTGTAATCATTTGTTGGCACGCCTAACCTAACTCAGCTTAATCCTGAACCTAACCCTAACACAACATAACTCTTACCTTATCTTAAATGACCATTGTTTGTTTTTATTGTCAATATTCTAAATTTGTGAGTAGTCATAACCTTTATATTTCGATTGTATAATATGTAATTGGGAAACCATAAAAATAAATAAATACATATATGTATCAAATAAACAGTATTTTTTTTACCTTTGGGCAAATCGCTACTCATCGCTTGGCTCAATGTATAAAATGCTTGACCAATTTTCTGATATTCTCTTTTATATGGCCCCTGATGTTTTTTTGTTTGGTCAATTGTAGTATCTATTAAATGTTTAACAGCTCCTTCCATGTTATGTACAAACTTCGAACAACTAAGTGTTTCTTGTTCTCTAAAAATAATTTCCAATAAACTATTTCTACACTTAACATCAAAATTTATGCATACTTACAGAGTAAATTGATTGATACTCGTTTCAGGTGCATCGATTGCATAAAACTCGCACGCACCAACAAATTCATCTTTTTCAGCCTTACGTTTCCCAACTTTCCACATTTTATCATCTGTACAAGTAATGAAATGCTGCCAAACTGGCGATCTGGTGAAAATCGAATTAATAAGATACGTCACGATATGTATTGTGGCATAAAAAGTACCTTGACAAAACGGGATGACGGCAGACGCAATCAACAAATGCTTGAAGTTGATTTTTCCTATGTTCAATAAATTGTTCTTCGTATCGCCCTGAAATGAGGAAACTAGTATGAAATAACTGGTTATAGGTGATTTTTATGAAACAATATTGTAAATATAATAATCTAGAATAAAATAATTACCAGAAATCTGTTTTTCAGGGAGTGGAGGGATAGGTACAAAGCTATATTTTTCTTCGAGACGTTCATGCAGCCAATCAAAGTGTTTATAACGTCTTGAAACTTGTATGTTATTAAACTTAAAAAAAGAAAAGAAAGACATATATGTACTGTTTACATCACACTAAATATATTTATTTATAAATAAAGTAAATAAATACCAAAAGTATATTATATTAAAGCAAATGTGTGTTTTTTTTCTTTTAGGAAAAAGATATACATCAAATATAAAAACAAATAATTTTTCTTAAATTGAATAATTTAGATCAAACCATAAAAATATGATATACTTACAGATGGTGTGATTTGATACACTATAAAACTTTTCAATCCTTTGAGCTTCGATTCTTTTTTGGGCGATGCCACCAAACAGTAATAGGGCTCTGTTATAGGTGCCCATAAATAACCGTTTTCTCCTCCGTCAATTATTTTCAGCTTTTCAGTATCGGGGACTGGTCGATTCGCCACACTCAATAGGTAATTTTCACCAATTGATTTTAAAAATGTTGAATGCCTGTTGAAATTTCTACGGGCAAAGACCTGAGCAGTTGTTTCATCATTGCCTTTAACTAGAAAAAAAAAAAAAAATGACTGACTGGATCATTAACAAAGAAAACAAAATTTTCTCAACTTCTTGGTATGCTTAATGTAAAAAATAAGTTTATGCGTTTACAATATTCTATATAGTCAATAATCAATTGCCCTTAGGCATTTTTGCATACCTCGTTACTTTTTTTCAAATGCAGGAATTTTAATATGCATGCTTACATGTGTAGTATTTAGTGACCATCAAATAATGATTATTTGGAGATCGTGAGATGCGGTCTGGTGTGACGTAGGTTTAAAAAAACATTTTCTTTATTGTGACAACATTTCAATCTTTATTTAGATCATCTTCAGGGCTCAAAGTGTGTTTTCTGTGTAGATGTGTCCTTATTGTGTGTCATGTTGAGAGTGCCAGGTTTTATGTTTACATACGTTGGATTTTGATTTGATTTTGGGGAAGGACGTAGGGATAGAAATCCATTTTTATATGAGAAGTCAGCTCCTTTGAGGTGAAAGGAGCCGACAATGGGGAAAAAATGGGTATATAATCCTGAAAGGATAATCAGAACGAACCCTTACCCATTTTTTGTTTTTTCTATTTATGTTGAATATAATTTTAAATAAGTAGTTACCTGATGGTTCATTATGAAGTGCACGTGGTTGTGGAAGTTCAGTTTCAGGTGGAGAAGGATCTGTTGGAGCTGTGTCACCCCAGTCGTCCTCCCATTCATCTTCCCAGAACTCTGTCGCTTCGTAATTCTAACAGAATACATCATTTTAAAATGTGAAATGTAGTAAATAAAAATCGTGAAATATATTACTTCAACATATGCTGCTGGAAACAATCCTGTTTCTCCGTTTTGGTTGGTACCTTCCCACCACCCTTCTCCTACGTCCTGACGGGTCACTGTGAGAATTTCACCAGCAGTGATGGTCAGTTCAGAAGATTTTGGCTCTCCTTGGAAGTCATATAGAGCTTGCACCTAAAATCAATTTAGAACAGCATATATAAAAATTTAACAGATTAAAAGAATCGACAAAAACCAAGGGTTTCTAATAGTTATATGGGGTCAATTTAAAAAAAAAAGTTTTTCGTTTTGAAGTCAGCCATGTGAATAACTTCCCACCTTTCTGATTTAATATTTTAAAACATGTGTAATAATTTTATTATAAGAAGATATATTCTACATTCTTTTGATTCACTTGACTTAGCTAGTGTAGGCAAATTCTTAGAAAATCTCTAAACGTCCCTAATCCAACCTGATCTGACTTAATGTAACTTAACTTAAACCATGCACACTCACTAGTAACATATCGGTGACATGAAAATGTAAATCTTGAAAATTAGTACAATACACACCACACCGGCAAATTCAATTGTAAACAAATTATACCGAAATGAGATGAGTACAGTACTCTTTTTTTTTTTTTAACGAGGGTTCGTAACAGCAGAGGTCATATAAACCCTCAGGGTGCCGGTGTTTTTGAAAAAACGCCCATCTATAAGTATGTCGGGTTCGAATGCAGGGCCGCGGGATTCGAACCCGGGACCTTCACCTTAGAGTGATGAGCGCCGTGTCAACGCCTAAACTGTTGTGGCCATCGACGCCACCCACAGTACTCTTGTTATCTGTGCTTTCATTACCCACACTTTCATTCACCCTTGGTTCCCCCTCTAGTTGAGATTTGACCACAGAAGAAGATAAAATAGAAGAAAAACAGGTATGAACAATAGAAAAATTTGAAGAAAATTTTTGATTAGCTCAAAAGTCTAAATATAAAATGATGGAATATGGGTAAAAATATTCTAAAAATAAAAAAATATTTAGTCAAGATGGTTTGAAAGAAATTTAACAAAAACACTGGATAATCGTGTAGTGATAAATTAAAATTTAACTAACAATCTATTACGAAGTTTTGCTCTCAATAACTGTACTCTTTTGTCCTTATGGAGGGCCTTAAGACTCCTAGGCATTGAGTAAACAAGTGACCAGATTTCGTTTTGTGAAACAAAATCCCATTCTTCAACAAGAGTGGTTTATAGGAGGCATTGAACAATATCTAATACATCTCTTTATCGTGTCCCATAAGTGTTATACAGGATTCATATCATGAGAACTTGCTGGCCAATACATTGATTTAATGCCTACATCCTCCAAGTAATAGGTGACAACTCGAGATACATGTGGTTGAGCATCATCGTGCATTTACAATAAATGGAGCGAAAGGGACCATAGCTTCTAGTATAACTTCCTCAGTGTACCTTAGGGCAGTGAAAGATCCTTTCAGTAAGATAATCAGTTACGTTATACCTTAAACAACAGTAGATATATATATTTTATTCTTCTTTTTCAGTTGTTGACTTTTTATATTTATACGAACATGTACATTGTTTCCAACTCATAGCATTACTGACTCCCTTTGATAAAGCTGTGACTTTCGCATGACGCATAAAGCAAAGCGATCTCCATGTCTTCTCCACACATGGTCCCGGGTTGGTTGATTGCCACAAACCGGCACTCATCTATGAACAGAACAGCCTACCATTGTTCAAGTGTCTAAGCGAGATGCTGATTTGCGAATGATCACCTTTCTCTTGATTCATTTCCAGTAGTAGAGAATCTAATACGGGATGCCTAGAGATTAGGCTATTCTCATGATGCTTTCTGGTGACTGTTTTAGAGCTCACCCCTACATTATGGACTGTTTGGAGTTGACTATTTATCAAGGAAGTAGTTAGTTGATGGTTCCCTAGTGCGGTAAGAGCAATAAAACGATTGTCTCTAGCAATAGTACAACGCGATCAACCACTACTTTCACTTCGATCGAGACTTCCAGTGGCTCTAAACCTCTATAGTTAGAGGTGAACCTCTGATGGTAGAGGTGGCACATCCAGGACTTGGACTTCGTAAGGGACACTACACACGTCATTGGTCAAAGCATCTGCTCGGGCGAGATCATCTTGACTTCAAGCCATGTATTAATAATTAATTGTTTTACACATTTATTGCTGCATAAAAAAATATAAACAAAAATATATTAAAAAAAAAAAAAATTAACACACTTGATATTTGGCTTTGGAAGGATGAAATTAAACTTATTTTCTTTATTTTTAATCTAAAGAGTGTAAAAGGATTAGTAACACTCTATAAAGGTAACCAACAAGTTATTAATTATTGTATTTCCATTTTAAGTCAACTAATAGATCTTTACACCTAGTTACTATGAAAAATAAACATCTAAATATGGGTCCAAGTTGTTTGTCTTTGAGTGCATTAGAACACTGACAGCACTGAGGGCTGCCACGTTAAAGATGTCGTTCCAGAGAGACAAAGGGATTCTGTCCTAAATGCTCGAGTCATTCAAGAATGACACAGGCCTCTGCTTCACAAAATCCTTATTTTAGCAGTGGTACTAATAATTACTATATTGTGTTAAGGTTCCCAAGAAGGCATACAAACAAAACCATAAAGACTGTAGTGGCCATTCCATTAGGTCATCTCATATTTGCCATGCTAGTAGTTCTGGGTTCGAATCTTATCCATAGCTCATGTACTTTTAAATAAGAATAATTTGATAAAAAGTATTGTAAGTGGTTCTGAGGTAGATGGCATTAAGCTTTCCTGTTATTAAAAGAATTACTTTACTTTCTGATTTGTTATATAATATTTGAATGAGAAACCCAAACAGTATACAAACAGTAATATTATTGCCGTAAGGAGGGCTAAACGTCCAACTAAACCACTTTACAAATTTTTTTTATCATCGATTAAAATATAAAACCATGGGATATAGTGGGATTCAAAGCCACAATTGCCAGCTTGGCAAATATCAGTTTGACACCAGTGTAACGACTACCTTCCATTTCTCGCAAAAAATTTGAAAAATAAACAAATAGTGATATTGTGAATCCATACGACTTACTATGTACTACTACATTGTGAGATATTTTCACAAAGATCTTGGTGTTGAGTAATAGCGCAAACATGGAAGATGGCGCAAAGTCGAAATGTGCTTCATAGACCGAGATGATCAGACATGACCTTACAATTTCTACTTTAGTCGAATAAATAATTTAAAAAAAAAAACAAATTCAGGAGGAACAATGGTTTACATCGGATTATATCGTCAAGATACAAAGTAAAGAAATGATAACAATTTGTAAAAATAAATTCAAATACGAGAGGGAGAAAGAGAGAAACAGCACGGTCATTATATAATCCAAACAAGAAAAATATATACAACTTGGGCGATGGAGGTTTAAACTATTGGCCAAAAAACTGTATATAAAAATATAATCAAAAGAAGAAAACGTCTAATTAATTAGTAAATAATTAGCAATTTGGAAAAAAATGGGCCATCGGGAAATTCCAGAAGATGGCTGGACATAAAATGACGACGATAAGAGTTCTGATGTTAAATTAATTGTCAATCAACTATCACGTAACGAAGATAATGCACAATTATCCAAACGAAAAATAATTTTTTCAAGACTAGTATTTGCCCCGTTCAAAGAAACAAAAAACAAAGGCGTAAATTAAAAAAAAATGTTTTTAAATTAAATCTAAATCAATTGAGTAAAGGGCATACCTTGACGTTCATGATGGGTGATGGTTCAGAACATAATTCGGTCCGATTGATTCTCCCCGAAGGGTATTCCTGATTTTCTCAAGTTGATTTTCAAAAGCGCCGACGTGCTGAGTTCTCCCGGATGACAAGCATAATAACTTATGATAAAGAAAGAAAGAAAAAAAGAAGCTGTTTACAACAGAAACTTGAGTAACTTAACCTGTTGAGCTGCGCTGACTACAGAATGTCGAGCTAGCAGCCTGTGAGATATCCTTATCAAATCCTCCTCCCGTGGGCCGTGACGTCATTGAAGCCAATGTCTCATCACTCATTCGATGAATCAATACAGATAAAAGTCCATGGATCCCATTTGTGTTTAAACTGCAAAACGTAAAACAAGATTCACGCAACATCAACAACAATAATCCATTTATGTGTAGTAGTCTAATTGACCAAATTACTTATTTCAATTAATTGGTCTTGGTTGAGATGAAAAAATTAGTGCCCCGCTCATGACAATAATTTTTTCATCTCAACCAAGATTTTACATAAAATGAATAATTGAAACAACAGTGATTTTTTTTTCTTTAGGGGGGAAAGGATAAAATAAAGCCTTGCCTATTCTTTAATAGAAACCTTGCCGTGCATTTGTCTTCTCTAAAATATATTTTATTAGGATTTGTTTGGTGTTTTTTTCGAACTGTTATGCATTTGTCAGCACTTTGATCGTCCTTGGCCAACTTTCCAAGCTTACGCTTGGATGCAGGTGTTATTCCTCTGGGAGGAGGACTAATTATTTGTCTCTGTATTTTTACTAATTTTTCCTGGCCTAGCGTTTGACGAGAGTACATGGTTAAGTTAGGTTAAACTTGTAACTTCAAATAAAGTTGTTTAAAAATGGAATTCGCAGTTGAAGTTATTTAACTTATAAATATACACTGACTGGCAAAAAATTCCTCCTAATTGATTTTTTTTTTCAATTTCTCGATAAAAGAAAATTCTGCCCTTAATTTGTTTCATTGATTTTGCCAATAAATATTTGTCTGTGCTGTTTCAAATTGGGAATATCAATTAGAGGTAAACACACTTAATCCTTAATCCAAAACAAGGGTAAAGGATTTTTCAATGTTTACGTTTTTCGGAATTTAAAATGCTTATTCAGTCTCATTTGAATTATGAAGCAATAAACCGTTTAGTTTTCAGCTTTGGTTTCTTAATTTCAATTTTTAAACTCAAAAATGCCACTTAGTGCTGAGAATGTTGGGCGTGGTGTGGCACTTACTGATGATGTATGCTCAGGTACGGGGCTATTGCCATCGGAGTTCCCTACGAAACTCTGCGAGACGCCGTTAGACATTTTTGAGAAACTGAGTCCTACCGTAGAAGGCCCGGTTCTGAACGCCCTAGGGTAACAGAACCATAGGATGACCGTTTTTGTCTGAGAATTTTGCAAAGCCGGCACCCTTACTGTTGTAACAAGCGATTCATCAGTTTCAGGAAGTTCGAGGTGTCAAAATTCTGAACGCACTGCTCGAGGAAGATTAAATCAGTATGGACTGATGGCTTTTCGCCCCGTAAGAGGACCAGAATTGACCAGAACACACAGCGTTGCACGGCTTTGCTCGAGAACACAGCCATTGGTCTTTGGACGATTGGTCTGCTGTACTTTTTACAGATGAGTGTAGATTTGCTCTACGATTTCCAGATGGGCGTGAAAGAGTGTGGAAAAGGCAAAATGAAAGGTACGAAGCCTGTAATTTTTTCCAGAGCCGAATGAACATTTGCACAGAGTTGGTTGTTGTTCGTGGAGGGTCTTTGACGGCCCTATGGCATGTGGATGAAATTTTTGGAGCATCACGCGTTGCCTATCCTCGATGAAATCAGCGACAATCCTATACTAATGCACGATAATGTCCGTCCACATGTCGCTCACATAGTACAGTACCTTCAACAGCACGACATCAGGGTCTTAGCCTGGCTTGCCCGTTCTCCAGACTTGAACCCTATCGAACATTTATGGGATAACCTCAAAAGACGAATAAGAGCAGGTTCATCACGTCCTGACAGAATCCACGATCTTTAAAAGACTCTTCGTGAAGAATGGGCTTACCTCCAGCAAAGAGGTATTTCCAGACTGGTAGAAAGTATGCCGAGGTGTCTTCGAGATGTAATTAAGACAAGAGGAGGAAATACGCGATTAAAAATCTAAAACAAAATTAAAACAAATTTTATATGTCCGTCTTTTTATTAATAATTTTCCTTAGTATTTTACAATTTTAAAATTTTTTTAAAGACAAAGAGTCAATTAAAAAAACGTGAAACTTTGATTAATATATAAAAATATATACAAATCAAGTTATATTACAATTGGGTGGAATTTTTTGCCTGTCAGTGTATTTATATATGTTGATAAATAGGATTGTAGTTGGCACCCTCTACCTCCGGGGAGGACTAATTATTTGTCTCTTTATTTTTACTAATTTTTCCTGGCCTTGACGAGAGTACATCGTTAAATTAGGTTAAACTTGAACTTGCAACTTCAAATAAATTTTTTTTAAAAATGGAATTCGCAGTTGAAGTTATTTAACTTATAAATATATATACAGGGTGTTCGGCTACTCGTGTTACATACTTTGCCAGTAGATTCTACATTCAAAATGACACCAAAACGTACTAATTAACTATAGTCCCAATCTCATTAGTGTCGGAATTATTGCACATTTTCTGATTTTTCAGGATTTCACGACCTTGCTTCAAATAAACAATGATAACTCCAAAACTAAAAGGTTCTAAATCCGTTGATACCATTGAAAACTAAGTTAATTTCCAATAAGATGTGATTAATAAATACTAAACTTGTAAACGTTCGTGAAAAAAGTGTTTTAGTAGCGAGAACTTTCAAAAATATATTTTTTTTTCAAAATTGAAAAACTTACTATGGTGATTTTAAACTACTACTTCCAAACCTAGAGACCAGTACATTTCACAAAAGTACTCCATTTAATATCCTTTTTAGTGGCGTAATTGCATTTTTCAAAGATGAGGAAATTCATGAAGAAATGGCAAAATCGTGGTCGACGGACGGTTAGGTGGAAAAATTAATAATAATTATTCGGAAATCGTGGATGCGGTCTGGTGTGACGTATGTTTCAGAAAAACTTTTTTTTATCGTGCCAACGTTTCGATCTTTATTGAGATCATCTTCAGGGCTTACAAACATTGTTTATAATTAACAAATACATTTAGGATGTGGAAAAGTGAATTTATACAATGCAAAATATATTTTTTATATTCAATCAAAATATTTCTACTCACTCAAAGTGTTTGTCTTCTGTATAATTGTGCCATTCTTGCGTGTCGTGTCGAGAGTGCCAGTGAGATTTTGCTGTTTTATGTTTATATACGTTGGATTTTGAAGGGGTTGGGAAGGAAGTCGGTATAGAAAAGACATTTTTGTATAAGGAGTTGGCTTCTTTGAGGTGAAAAGAGCCGACGAAGGGGAAAAACGTTGGTAATGGTTCGGACAGGTTATCCTTTTAGGATTATATAGACCGGGATAATTAGGAAAAGGAAAGCTAAATTGTTGAAAAATTAGACTATGAAAATGTTTGATGTGTGGAATGTGATGAATGTTTTATATGTTATTCTAAAAATTTAAGTTTATGTTTGTTTTGTTCTGTGTGTAATATTTTTGTTATTTTACAATTAATTAAGGTTTTTTGTTGAGATGAAAAAAAGTTAATGGCACGAGAGGGATTCGAACCCACGACCTTCGGCTAGATACGCCGCTGCTCTACCACCTGAGCTATCGTGACCTCTATCCACTCGGACATCAACTCCCCGTCTCAACCCCACCTTATGAGTTTTCCCTCCTTTTGCCATTTTTCAAATAGGTCAAGCGGACCACGAGATTAGTGAATTTTTGTTATTGTTTCGATTGTTGAAGTCGAAATTGTGTTTGTGTTCAAAATGGTGGGTAGCGAGTGCTGTAGGATTTAAGACTTAAGGATGTAAGACCGATGTAAGTTGCCAGACAGTTTAAACAATTGATTTTGTAGATTACGTCAGATTTATTTGTTATTGGTGTGGGATTTTTAATTTTGGAAAAAAGTGTGTGAATTTTTATATAGTTTTTGAAATCTATTTTAAAGTTACCGGAAGAGAGAAATGTGTTTAATTTATGTGATAGGCCGTGAATGAATGGCATGGAAATGTATGTTGGTTTGTCTCTATTTGATAAATTTGATGTAGTATTGTTAGTAATAGTGGATGGTGTTAGTGGTGAGTTGTAGTTGTTGATTAGCACACATAATTATGACACATCTATTAAACACAGTTATACTACAACAAAAATGTCTTTCTATACCGACTTCCTTCCTCACCCCTTCAAAATCCAACGTATATAAACATAAAACAGCAATATCTTTAAATAACTTTTTTTGCATTGTATAAATTCACTTTTTTCCACACCCTACATGTATTTGTTATGAAGATGATCTCAATAAAGATCGAAACGTTGGCACGATAAAGAAAATCTTTTTCTGAAACCTACGTCACGTCAGACCGCATCTCACGATTTCCGAATAATCATCGACTAACGGTCACTAATCACCACACATTAATAATAATAAAAAATAAAAAACTTAAGGAAATTTTGAATGAATTTATTAAACGTGTTTTAATTTTGATTCGAAATACTCTCCACCCTCCGCAATGCACAAATGAGCCCGTTTTCTTACATTAACGACAGCAACGAGAATATGTCCCACAGTTGGTATGGAAAAAATACAGAGTAAACCCCCTACACCGCATGATAATGAGGATAGAAAACTTTTATTAGTATCATTAAAGAGAAACCTCCAACAGAAATAAAACTAAATTGGACAGACAGAAACAAAATATTGAAGGACCATCCGATACACATGGCTCCAAGAGACGACATGAACAGGATGTTTGAATTTAATCAAAACTTCCAAATAAACCTAAGCACCAAAAAAGAATGGGAAGGGATGGTTAGGTATGGTATGGTGGAAAGGATACTGGGAAGCGGGGCTTGTATTCCCCAGGCACTGCAGCCTTCTGGCTTATTGTACCTTCCCAGTTCCCTAGTTTAGTAATAGACTCAATTCATCTTCTCAGAAGTATCAGGTCATTGACTGTTATTGCTGCAATTTGGTTCCCTGAGTCTTTTTCGTACGTTAGGTTAAACCTCCATTGAGCTGTTGCTTCGCATTCGAAGATGATATGATTGGCTGTTTCCTCCT